TGACATATGTAAGTTACAAAAGAAAAAAATTAACTCATGGTCTTAATAAATATTTACTGAAAGCTTGGATCCATTCACCAGTATTATAAAGGTAAAACCAAACTGACTTAAGATACTTAGCATAATGTACAAAAAGGAAAGTTTTAGAACCTGTGTTTTTTTTGGCTAACTTTCTCAGTAATGGTAAGTAGCATATTGTCTTGAGCTAATCTGTTAAATAAGGTTCCCTTTTTTAAACTAGTCATTTTTCTTTCAGAATTTGGTGGGCACTGACAACTCCTCTTATTTGAAAAATAAAAAAAAAAAAAAAGAATTAAGGAACTGTGTCTTAAAAGGCAACCAAAGACTATAGAACTGTGCATAGGGAGGAAAAGAATGCATAAAATGACATCAGTGGTAAGAGGCACAGAAAGTTCTGGATGAAGAAACAGTCCTCCCAAAGGCATTTAATGTGTTACTAGGCAACAAATAAATATGACTTCTAGCTAGCCCAAAATACCGCTCCCAAACACACACACACACACACACACACACACACACACACAGCTGCTTGTTTAAAGATGTCTTTCAAAAGTTTGTTAGATGATCCTGGTGTTCAGTCCATCTTATAACTGACATTTTATAATTTACATAACACTTGTATATGTATGTGAGTGTGTGTGTGCACATACTTCTAGGGTATTTAAATCACATGGGAAATTTATTAATTCTATGTAAAAACTAATACTAATCATTATTATTCTTACAAAGTTACAACCTTATGCTACTTTCATTACAAAAATAAACCACACACATGGTCCTCCCTGGCAGTGCAGCAGGTTAAAGCACAGCCTGAGAAGCTAATGCCACCTCCACAAGAGGTTGATCCCCGCCTGCCCCGGAGGAGCCCACATAGAGCGGCAGACCTCTCCTGATCCGCCCGCTGCTCCCCTCAGTAGTATCGAAGTGTCTATTCTGTTCCCTACTCTGTCTCTGATGAATCTTCTCATGGCCCCTGAACCTCTGGCCTGTACCCCAGCTCTGTATGCATAAACAAACCCTTAAAAAGTAATAAAATGAACCACACACATAATAGTTAAAGTCAAAAACACTGATAATAACATATTGGTGAGTATATGAAACAAAGTAAGCTCTCATTCATTGTTGGTAAGTGTGTACAATACGCCAGTATGGATGATTTTTTTTTAAATATTAAATATATTTACCAATGCTTCCTCAATCAGATTCCTAGTTATTTACTCAAATGAGTTGAAAACTTAGGTCCATAACAAACCTGTACATGAGTGTCCATAGCAGCTTTATTCATAATTGCCAAAAATTGGAAGCAACTAAGATGTTATTTAGTAGGTGAATGAATAAGCAAACTGTGGTTCATCCATAAAATGAAATATTATTCAGCAATTAAGAAAAGAGCTATGAAGTCACAAAACACATGGAGGAACCTAAAATGCATGTTGCTAAATGAAAGGAGTTAGTGTCAAAATGATGCACACATGACTGCAAGTAAGTAACTTTCTGAAGAAAAGAAAAACTTACAGAGATTGTGAAAATATCAGTGTTTATAATGGATCTGGAGAGGGAGAAAGGGATGAATGTGTTATGAACATGATGAACAGAGAAGTTTTAAGACAGCGAAACTATCCTGCATGATACTATGCTATGGATACATTCTATTAATGCATTTTTCAAAACCTGTAAAATAGAATAATACAAAGAGTAGACTCTAGTGTAAACTATGAACTTCATTTAACTATAATATATTAAAACTGGTTCATTACTTACAGCAAATATATCATATTAATGCAAGACATTAATAATATAGGAAACTAAGGGAAGAAACAGATGAGAACTCTCTATACTCTCTGCTGAATTTCCTATAAACCTAAAACTGCTCTAAAAAATAAATCTATTAATTTAAAAAATATATGTAGGTAATATTCATTGTGGCACTGTCATTATTTCAAATTTATAACACTAACAAGAGTTCATCTAAACCTATTAATTACGGATTTGTCATTCTCATGTCATGAAACCGAACATTTTTTTATCAAGTTATACTTTAAAAATATATTCAATTCACATTCTGTTATAAAGAATTAAATTAACAAGAACCCCACATATAGTTAGCTGAAGGATTTTTTTCAATTCTTTTCCCAAATGAAGTGTTCATATTGTATTTGTATCTTTCATTTCCACTAGTTTTCAATATAGTTTCACTCAATTTGCAAGAACCATAAACACATTTTATCCACAATGTATTGTTATCTAACTGAATGCAGAAGTTGCTGCCTTAATCTATGCAAGATGATTACTTAAAGCTACTGAAAGCACAGTATTGCTGAAACTTCTGTATGTGTCAACAGGAGATCATTTGAAATACAGATTCTGATGCAGTTAATTTGAGGTAGCACCTAATAATATGCATTTCTAACAAGTTTCCAGATGATGCTTGTACAACCACATTTTGAATAACAAGCATCTGGAGTATATCTGAACCTTGAAACTATTATCACTCTGCAAAACAAACCCAATTATCTAGAATTACTTAAAAGAGATTAAAGAGCTCCCTTTTTGTTTCTCCTACCCGAGAAAGCTCTGAGTTCCCAAGACTTCTAAATCTGCTCTCCCAATATAAAATCCTTTTCAATTTCATTTACAAAGAAGATGGCTTGATAACCTTTGTACAGCAAGCAAGCTACACATTTAGTCATAATACTTTCCTAGCTTGTATGAACTGAAGCTCATCTATTCCTAGTTAAATTCTTTGATTTATATATCTTCAGTCCCAGAAAGGTCAAGTGACTGGCTCAATGTTACTTATCCAATAACTGTAAAGGTCAAGACTAAAATCCAGATCTCTGATTCCAAACCCAGCTCTTTTCCCTCCCTCTTCTTGCTTCTAATAATGATGCACTTCAGAGTGTCCGAAACAAGTTATTGAGACCACAGAATCCCACTTGTAAATTGAGTCTCTCAGACTCAGCTTTTTTCACTGCAATTCCTAAGAAGGGTTTCAGTTCTTGTGAAGGTATTAGGTGCAGTTGGGGAAGGCTTTTTTTCCACTTCAAAATAAGTCTTGAAATCCAACACAATGATGTGGACTTTTAAGTTTGAGTAAAGACTTGAGAGAAAATGCTACCTACTGTATGAAAAAAGGCTTGACTTTTCCACTATGGGGAAGAAGGCCAAGTGTGATTTGTTTTCCTCCTCCAAACCTGATGGTTCCCTTTAGAGAATTCCCAACCAATCACACATTAGAGTTAGGGACATAGGGGCATTTGTCCAGTCCAGAGGAACCTCATTCATAATGGAACAAAAAATAATGACTTGATGTCTTCAGTGTCCTTTCTAGGCCATTCAAGATAAAGGAATTAAAAGGATCTTGATGATGTGAACAAAACAAGTCCCAGAGACATGAAACAGATGTTGAGTTATTGCACGGGTTGGATAGAACTGGCTTATGAAGCAGACCCAATTTCACACTTTCATCGGCAGTAAGTTTGGACAGGAGTATATGTATGAAATATTTGAGACATTCAGAGCTACATATCCTTTCGAAATACTGCCCTGATCTGCCCTTATACTTTCCTATCCTCTCCCTCTTAAAGTCCTGCAGAAATTAGAAAGCCACAATGAGACCTTGAGTGCAATTCCTGTTCCTGGACAACACTCTTTTATAAATACTTTGTTCCCATTTTCAAGGGAGATTCCTCTGAAAGTGTAATTGCTATGCACAGGGGAATAGCCACAGTTTCTCTCTGGCTACTACTTCTTCTGACACCAGATCACAAAGTTGTATACTTAAATAAGGACTGATAAAATTCTCTTGACAGGATTATGTAAATGCCAAAGCAGCCAAGATTCTAGGCACCCAGCTTTATATGGAGATATTTTGAGGTGTTTCTAGGCTACAGTAAGAATCAATCTTGGCACCTCTGAACCCAGTCTGAGAAAAATCAGTAATGTTGCTATTGAGAAAAATGAGTTGCTGGTGTTCTGAGCTCTATAGACAATTAAGAGTAGTCTCAGCACCGGCTATAAGGAACATAAATGTCCCCGTGCTAAAACAGGAGTCTACAGAATTTCCACAAATCCCGGCCATGGCAATTCTTCAGAAAAGTAAAAAATAAATGCCCTTCATGTCTTAGAGCCAGGAGACATTTTTTTTTTCCTGTCTGGTGGTTGGAAAACCGGTGCTGGCTGACCTATCCAGCTTTGCCTTAGTCATTCATGGTCTTAATCATCATTTCATAATTCAGGGTTCATATATTCCTTCCACACTTTTTCCACCACTTGTTCCTCTTTCCCCCTCTTGCTAATTCTTACCCTGCTCCTCATTCAAGACTCAGTTCACACACATAGGGAAGGCTTGTCAAGAGACTTTCCCTATTGAATCCCTGCAGCAATTAATGTGACATTTAGCTTAAGCCAGACTTTAAAGAAGAAATCACCACTAGTGGACTTATTTTGTTTAACTTCCTGGGGAAATAAAATTAGGGATAAAGAGAGAAGCGCAAATAACAGACTTGTTGAGATTTCAAATATTCTCACAATAAAAATGACAATAAAAAGTACAGAAAGAAACCAGTTTATAGAGAGGCAGGGTAGATGGTTTCTTTCTTTTTTGCTTTTCCTCCTGTGTATTGTCTCTGAACCTAATCAACAGAACAACATTTGGGAATCTGGAATAAGACAGCTGCAGGAAAAGTAGGCAAGAAAAAAACAGCAGCTTCATATAAAAGGTAATCTTATACAAGTATGGCTGAACAGTGATGAAATAATACCAATGACTAAAGGACCAATGTAAAATTCCCCTCCCTCATGCCAGGGGAGTCCTTTGTTAGGAATGTGGTATTTTCAGGGGGACAGAAGCAGCGTTAGCCAGTTGCTAGGACTCAGCTGTTTGAACAATTCTACCATTCTGCTCTAAACATGAATGATAACAATTTGCATATTCTATAGTCAGTAATATAAAACTACAATGAGTTTAGGTAACTTACTATGCTGACAGTGAATCCCGTTAAATCCTCGGGGACATTTACAAACATAGCCGATAAATGTGTCCCCTCTGTATGCTTCACTTATTTCACAGGTTCCTCCATTATGGCAAGGATTAGGAATGCAGGGACCTGAAAGAGAAGAAAAAAAAAATTGATGCATATGGTTAAAGGACAATACTGGTCAATATTTTGCAGTTAACTTTATAGAAAAAAATGTGTTGTGAACAGCATTGATGCAGAAATTATATTGCTGTATGGGTTCTCTGGAACCCATGCATGGTCCGGTTCTGAATGCTAATCTCATGACTTGCTGTGTGTGATCCTGGGGAATATATTTAACCTCCCTATGTTGCCATCTCCTCTGCTAAATGTCAGTACTAATACTCTACCTTAAAGGAGGGTAATCCAGATGGAAAAGTTCACACTTATAAAACATCCAGAACAGTGTCTGACATATATTAAGCACTCAACAGAAATTAGCCCTAAGTAAAATATTATTATTAAGGCTTATGAATTATAGAATATTTTCTGCACATTTAAAACTAATACAGAATGTCAATTTCTGAAGCCTTTGTACCCACCCTGCTGCTGAAAATAGGATAAACTTGCAAATGACTGAAATGACTGTACCCACATAGGTCAGATGAAGGACATAACCGTTTGGAATACTTTTATAAAATATGTAGAAGTTTATGAGAAAGCTATAGAAAACCACCATTTTTGACAGTCTATAAGAAGAACAGTTTACCAGATGTTGCAAATAAAGAGAAGTGGTGATCGTCATCTTTTTTTTTTTTTTTTTTTTTTCAGATTTATTTATTTATGTATACAGAGCTGGGGTACTGGCCAGAGGTGCAGGGGCGGTGAGAGGATTCACCAGAGACAGACTGGAAAGCAGAACAGGCTGACTGACAAAGTATACTGCTGAGGGGAGCAGCAGACAAGACAGGAGAAGTCTGCTTCTTCTGGGGTGGGGAACAAACTCATGCTGAAGAGGTATTAGCTTCTTAGTGCTGTGCTTTAACCTGTTGCACCACCAGGGAGGGCTGGTGATCATCATTTTTAAGAAATGTTGAGAAAGTGACTTCACCAGAGTGACAGCTGCTTGCGAACATCAGTGAAAGTGAGGTGCTCCATCCCCTATACAGAAACCAGAGGCAAGCAGTTTGGTCAGCTGAGCGCCAAAGGGTGATAAACTTGTAGTGTGCATTCTTACTCTAGGCTGCCCCACTGCTGTAGCTAAAATTTTCTCAAATGGCATGATGTTTCTCCATAGTCCTCCTCTGTTCCTGTGTTCCCTTCAGAGATGTCTGGTTTCGGTCACAGACTAAAGACTCATCTTACCTACTCTTGCTCTCTTTCCCATAGTTCAAGACAGATATTGCCCCCCACCCAAATAAATATTTGGGTGGGGGGCAATATCTAATTTTGTATTAGAGTCAGCTTCTTAGAAGATGATAAAAGAACAAGATGAAATTCTGAGTGGAAATTGTAAAGGAAGGGATAGGTAGAAGGTGTAAAAAGAAATCTCCCTAGGAGGTAAAGGAAGAGGAAAAGTGGGGAGGTGAGGTGGGGTTGTAGGAGGCTGGTGGGGGGGGATAACATGGAAACTGTTAAGAGTCAGATTACACCTTGTTTCTAAGCTGCTATCCTGGGACCTGTAGGTGAAGATTAAACAGTTGACTGCCATTCATTTGGTGATAATGAAAAAGCAAGAGATATTGTTCAACTCACAGCTGAGCACTATCTTAGGGCCTTTCAGGAGATTTCCCCCCAGTACTCACAGATAGACAAACAGATTGGGAACCAATCCAAAAATAACAGCATAATCAACCAAACCTCAGACCATCTCCCTATCTGATCCTTTCAACTCCCCTGTGTTCTAACCAGGTGTGTGCTAACACACACCTTGGGACTAAACTTTGGTCATTCACTCAAGTCATGATTCCAATTTTTGAATAAATGCTTCCCTAATTATATTACAACATGGCTATTTCTCTTCAGTTGACAATAGTTTTGACAATTTTCTTTGTCCTTAAAGAGAAGGGAACACATTTGTAAGTGGAGGGAAAGGAATAGAAGAGGAAATTAAGATTCATGTGTTAGAAACAGAAAAAAAGAGTAATTAAGTAAGCCAAAGTCTGACTATTTAAGCAGGTGAATTCCAGAGTAGTACTAGAGGAAAATGAGTCTAGAAGTGTAACAAGTGTTTTCAACAGAGATAGCAGAAGGTGAAAGGATTAGGTACAAGGATAGTGATAATCAAGGCAACTGGGTAGAGCTTCAAGAGGCAAAGGTTATTCAAAGAGCTCAACAGTGAGTCGTAAATTACTCAGCGTGAAGTTATTTAAAAATTTATGGAGAAGAAAGAAAATCCCCATCATCACATTAAGCAGTGTATAGAATGTCAAAAACCAGCCCTCCCTGGTTGCTCAACAGGTTAGGACACAGCACTGCAAGATAGTGGCAGCTGCTTCAGTGCCAGTTCGATCCCTGGTGAAGTCTCTCACCACCCCTGCGCCTCTGGCCTGTACCCCAGTTCTGTTTGTATAAATAAGTAAAATCTCTAAAAAAAATGTCAAAAACCGACCATTGGAGGCTGAGACAAGATTTTATAATGCCATCCTTTCCTCCAACAGCTCTCTTATTATAAAGAAGGTGCCGGAACAATAACCATTTTGTGGCAATCTAAATTATTTTCTTACAATGCCTCTTACATACCCTTCTTTCTGCCTCTACTTTCCTCCTTTCAAATTAACATTAAGAATACCTTAAAATTGACAATTATTTTTACAAAATCTCATATTCTTCATAGCATCTCCTTGTCATAGTTTATATTGCCATTATCTTTTACATTATTTTAAAGAGTTATTTATTCATACAGAACTGGGATACAGGTCAGAGGGGGTGGTGACAGGATTCACCAGAGTTAGAGTGGGGGAGCAGAACAGGCCGAATGATGAAGTACAGTGCTGAGGGGAGCAGTGGGCGGGTCAGGAGAGGTCTGCCGCGCCATGTGGTCACCTCCAGGGTGGGGATCGAACTCATGCTGCAGTGGCTTTAGCTTCAAGCTGCTGTGCTACCGGGGAGGGTCATCTTTTATATTTTTAAACTACCCAAAAGTCATAACAGATAACTTTTCTCTAGTAAACATCTATACTTAATGCATTTAGGTCTCCAACTATGACTCTCTGCTTCTAACTAAAACTAACATTTCTTGGTGAATCAACTAAATGAGTAGGGGAGAACAAAATAGTGATATTAGAATTTTGATTGATTTGATAACAGCAAAATAAGAAAAAAAGATATAACTTGGTTTTTTGTTAATTAAAAACTGATAAACATGCATGTAAGTGCTAAAGAAAACAAATATAATTAGTCAAATAATTGTATTTTAAACAAACAAGGATCCTTGGTATCATCTAATTCAATTTTTCAATTTTACAGATGAGGAAACAAAGGTTAATAAGATTTAACTTATTTCTCAAGAAAAGGTAATACCAGGAAAACTGGCTTTAAAAGGAATTGTATGTAGGAGAAGAAAAAGTTATTAAAGCCACTGATTAAACAACTCTCTCGAGAGCATGATGTAATTTATATCAAAGAAAAAATAAAAATAAATGTTTTCCATATTCCCTTTCACTTACAGAGAAAGGATTAAAAAAAATAATAAAAAAGACTGAAATAATCAGACTCCTCTCAGTTCCAGGGATCATTTAAAGTTGTGATTCAGGGAAATGGTTCATGGAAGTCACGTGAAGAACAAAGGAATAAACATGTGCATGGAATAGATGCTTCTGGTTATAAGCATCTTTGGAAAATTGCAGGTTGGCACAAGCTGAGAATGCAGTAGAGGCTTTGCATTTTAAAGGAAAGTTCATAGGCAATGCAGGAAAAAACCTAGGAGAGGAGACTCCCAAACTGGAGTAAAAAGTAGACTTAAAGGAGAGAAGGGGGTCAAGCTATGTGGTGTGTAAGCTATGTGCAATAAGTAAACAACCACCAAAAAAATTAAAAAAAAAAGCTAATAAGAAAGGAGGAACCAGAAAGTTACCTGATTATCAAGATCAATACACATCCTGATTTTGTATAAGGTACCACATTGCTGAATTTAAAAATGTTTAAATTGGCTTAAATATGTTATACATATTTAGAATAAAACATGGCCTACCGAAATCTTACAAAAAAAAAAAAAAAAAGAAAGAATGAAAAGATGAGGTCTAAAATTCAGGTTTCAGTTGTGTGCACAGCTGTAATCTGAGCTGTCTCTGCAGGGATACCCAGATCTAAAGGAAAGTCTGCTAGACACATAGACATGTGCATGTGGTTTGGGAAAAATCAAGGAGAAAGGGCCATACAATTCATCTGACTTTCCCTGGCAGAAGGGAAGAAGTGTTATAGCACATAGCACACAAGGGATTCAAGAATTCAGTGGATACTGGAACCTGAAGAAGGATCTGTCAGAGGTGTCTCAGCTAAGAAACTTAGCTATTCCTGAGGGCATGGGTGAAGCCAGTGCAGCAGTCTCCATGCAGGCTCAGGGATTCCCAGTGTGAGTCAGTGAGTTGAAGCTCACTTTATTTACAGTCCAAAGGACATCATGACCTCAGTTGTCATCTGGGTTACAGAAAATAATTACATATTACAGAGGTTGGTGATGCTGTTAATTTTCTTATTCCAAAAATTTCAGTGATTTGTCCTTAAAGGGTGAAGCTGAGATAAAGCAAATAGACAAGGATTTAACCTTTCTAGAGGGTTTTATGTGCTTGACACCAGGAAGTACATATAGTATTCTTTATAATGCTCTGTAAGAATATATTTTTTTCAGAGAAAAGAAAACAGGCTCCTGAAGAAAGGTTAACTCACGTGTTTAAATGGAAAAGCCAAGATTTTAACACACTCCACCTAACTATAAACCTAAACCTTTTTATTATTATTATTATTAAGCTGAACTCCCTGACATGTTGAAGATCTGTGTCTGAATATGTTAGTCTTGACAGATACAAACAGAATCAGCATGCATTCACAAAGCACATTCCTATAAATAATAAAGAACTCTAAAGTCTTCCCAAGTGGAAATATGAGTATTTTCAGCAAATGGGTCAGGGTATATTAGATATTAAGAATAT